TGGAAATAGAGATGCAACATGTCCATCAGTACCCAGTTCAAGCAGAATGAAATCGAATTTTGGCAGTCACTTATCTCAGACACGTTGATAACACGGGTTCTCATTAACTGTTGGATGAAAAACTCATAATCATCAGCAGTTTTTTCTGCTTACACAAAATCATTAATAGAAACTGCATGACTGGGGACTATAGGCACCTGTTGATTTAACAAGCATATCAGCAGAGGAACTAATTAATATATTAATTAATGACAAAATCAAGGCATGTACAAGTTAACGTCAGATACAAGACCATGCTTTTCATCATCCCATTCAAATGCATGAGTTATTGTGAGCTTAACCCCAAATCTGAGTAAGTGATGGGCTGCACATGTGCAGCAAGCCTCAGCTTTGAAAATTGATGCTTGCTTTGCATTTAGAACCGTACCAATAGCAATTGCTGAATTCAGCCGATCTGCCAGCTTGGAAACAGAAAGGTGTTGGTTGTGGTCATTCAGCAAATCATCAATATGGCGCCAACGCATCAATTTCTAAATTTGAACACAAGAATAAATCAATTTCTAACAAACAGCAACATGACATTAAAGGTATAGACGCACATAAATTGTGAAAACGACGACAACAACCTTTAATAGACCTTTCTAGTATTTTTCAACTTCAAATCTCATACATACTTGTTGTAAGTAAGAGCAAAAACTTAGATTCACACAATTAAATTATAGATCTAAAACCATGAAACACAAACAAAACAAAACTCAAAACGATGTTGTTACAGTGTAACTAACACACGTAGCTTCTCAACAGCTTGTTGATATTGCTGATCTTCTCAAAAGGTTGAGTCATGAAGCATAGAGGAAGAAAAGTTGAGACTGAGGAACAGTAGACAAAAAAGGGTTGGAATGTAGGTTGGTGAGAAACGGAGCAGGAAATGGTTGAAGATGAAGCATACGGTAGGGAGACGAGGATGAAGCATACAGTATGGAGACGGGGATGAAGCATAAGGTAGGGAGACGAGGGAGAACCGTCAGTCTAGGGTTTTTTTAGGAGAATGTTGTGACACGTGGGCAGAAAAGAGAATGAGGATGTTGGGGAAAAGAGAGGGAAATTTGGTGTATTGCAGTGAATATAAATTGGATTAATAGAGTGTTGGCATGTGGAAGAAAGACAAATTCTCATTAAGTGTAAGATTGGATAATATGTTAATTTAAGAAAACTCCTTTTAGTAGGCATGTTTTAGTTTGGTCTAAAGGGTAAATTAGTAAGTTTGATAGCATTTAATTGTAATGGGTAGGTAGTTGATACAGTGTTTTAATGAGATAATCAACTGTAGTCAAATTCTTAAAACAACCATGGAAATCAACAATCAAACCATCTTTGTGCAATTGAGTTATTTGGAAAACACAAATCAAAACCTCTTTGTGCAGCTGGATCAGTTAGATAACAATATTGATGATTGCATGAAAGTTAACATTTTAGTATTCACATCTCTGATGACTTAACATTTTTTGTTATCATGGTACCATCTTTATCACAAAATAGAGTTTATGTAGGTATATCTTCCTCCCCCTCGAATTCGACTAACTTTGAAAATATTTTCATTATTTTCCACCGGTACATATACCTTTACCCATGCAAGAGGGAGTCAGTCCACTATTTGCTTAGCCACCCAACCATCACCATCACTATATTTTTCTCAACCCCTACCATTACACGTTGCACACTCGATTTTTACATTTGTCCAAACAATCCTTTTTCACCAATACCCACTCAACAAACCTGTTTATTTCAGTCATTTTAGCATAATCACAAAACTATACACCCCTTTTTTAGAATCCCAAAAATTAAGTTAGGAATTTTTAATGAAACCTATCCATTAGAGTGGTATTTCAAGCCGAACATTTCTTTTCTTATTATAACATTTTCTTAGAAAATTGTTTACTCATGGCTATTTTTTATATGAAAGAGAATGTTCTTAGATGACATAAATGGATGTTTCAAACCTATCAATTAATGAATTGGAATACTTTTCAAGTTTTCTTGAATTATGTTTTGGCACAACAACCTATGAAAACCATCAAGCTCAATTGTTTAAGTTTAAATAATATGGGTCTATTTTGGAAAACCAATCTAATTTTGAAAAATTGGACAATAGAGTATTAAGGTTACTACCAAATGCAATTCTTAATTTTCATATCATGTTTAAATTCATAAATGCGAAATGAGATTGTCATTTAACGCCCTCACTGTATCTCACAAGCTGTGTGTTGAACCGCAAGCTGCCACATGCTATTTTTCGTCAAAAAATGAAGTTTAAAGGGTTACTAACTTAATTGATATCGGCAGTACTCACAATATTTTTCAATCTCATATTGCTCAATATCTCAAACTTTCTATCAAATTCATACCGATTTTTGTTGTAATGGCGGGAAATGACTCTCACTTACAATATTCATGACTTTTCCCTCAAGTTCCAATCAATTTGCAAAACAATCTATTTTTTATTCCTTTCTATTTTCTTCCCATTTAAGGAGCAGATTCGGTCTTAAGATCACTCATGACTCTTAGGATTTTTTAGGTGTCACACAGATTGTTTGTTTGCCATTACGCCTCTCGCACAACTTTGCTTACCGTTCTGTTGTGTTTTACTAATTTTTCATGGATTACAAAGGCAAATACAACATTTACAAAATTAAAGAAAAAATGACAGAAACGTCGATCTTGGTTATTCTTCTTGACTTTTCAAAGATCTTTACTCTAAAAACATGTGTGTCTATTATTGTCGATGATATTGTTTTATCTCAGGACGGTCATCTATTAGACTTATTTAGAAAAAAGATGCATAGCCGCATGCAAGCTTCATCAGTATACGAGAGATATACGACATCAAAAAAGTTGTCAAGAAATGGCATAAGTATCTTTTTGAAAGACATTTCACATATTCACATATCAAAAAGGTATGAAAAATCTTCTAGTACAAACAATAAAAACACCAAAACAACAAAAGTGGCTTAAAAGCTACAAGGATTCCGTTTCGAGATATTTTACAAACGTAGAAAGAAAAATCATATGGCAGATGCGCTTAACCTTAAAAAGAAAAATCAGATGACAGATGCACTTAACCTTAGAAAGAAAAATCAGATAGCAGATGCACTTAACCGCAAATACACAGAAGATAAAACTATTTTGTTCTCCATTTCATCACCAGTCCCATTACATCTAGCATAACTTAACAAGTGGTACCGTAAAGAAAAAAAAAGGGTCAAGACTTAAGCTAAACATATCTAAGATCCGAACATGTATCAACTATTTGGACTAAAGGATAACATTTTGTATTACAAGGACGAAATATACACGCCGCGGATCCAAGATTTGCGACAAACCTTCCTTCCACCCAAACAACCGGTCACTCTTTTTTTTTTAGGATTTACAAAGAAGTCAAGACTTGTCAACAAAACAAATATATGCCAAAAATGAAATAAGGGTTGCTACAACCATTAGAGATACCAACACAAGTATGGGAAGAACTATCCATGAATTTCACAACACACTTGCCAAAATCATTTTGCCACATTATGATTTGGGTCATCTGGGAGTGTATGGCAAAAGTTTGTGCACTTCATTGTGCTTCCCACCAAGTTCTCAACACTAGATCTCGTGAATTGTTTTTCGTTGAAATTTGTTATCTGCATGGCATCTCCTAATCCATCATTTTTCACAGAGATCTGTTATTTCTCATCACTTTTTAACCGCTTACCATCATGAAAATGGTCAACACTTTTTAACAGCTTACCATCATGAAAACAGTCGACGGAGGTGATCAAGTACAGTTTAAAAATGATAAAAAAATAAGTCACATCAAAACAAATTATTTCCTTTATATATTGTATAGATTTCATCTTACATTTTTTTCTTAAAAGACATAAAAATATTTTATTTTTTAAATAATTTTTATAAATGTCTCCACTACTTTTTGTATCTAAATCCTCAAAAAATAAATTTAGTAATTTTAAGCTGTTACTACCACCATCTATTTTATGTGCTCTTTCTTTCTGTTTCATGACTTTGTAGAAGTTCTGTGATGTTTGGTAGAATATTAAATTTTAAAAAAAATGATTGTACATTTAGTCTTAATATTTAATCAAAGTATTTTAATTTTTTTTTATGGATTTCTTTTAAGGTGAACAGATAGTATATAAAAGTCTAAGATAGTGAAAATATTATAGTTTATAGACAATTTACAAATACAGATTATATTTACCTAATTTTAAAGAACTACTTGAATTCAAACTTACTACCACTTGCAAATCCAAAATATCATTCTTAAAAAAAAAATGAAAATATATCAATTCGTTAAGTTCAAAATCCATATAAAAATATTAAAATATATCAACTAAGAAGTGAATATTACATAAGTACTGAAACTAAAAGTTCGAACGTGTTAATGTAATGATGATCTATCTTAGTCTTAATAGTTGCTGGAACCATAATAACAACTTACTGTATTAGGCTTATGGGATTCATTTTCCTTACTGAAATGGAAACATAACCATTAAGCTATAATAGGCAATACTCCTGGGTTAAAGACTCAGAGTTCAGTCTTGCCTAAAAAAATTCTGGTATTGAGTGTGTGCATTATTTAGATCAAACTTCGAACACTTTTTAAAATTACATTGTAAAACAAAGCACAAGAGTCGTACACTCCTAAAATAAAACACATAATATGACAAAATAAATAGTTCATCCAAATACATTCAAGTACTTTAAAACAATATGGTAGAAAATTGCATGCTAATCGACTTTTGTGAAAGTAAGAACTACCCCTCTACCTACACTCCATCTCTCCCATTTTTCTCATTTCATAAATTGTAGCAAATAGTAAACAGAAAATGCAAAAACTTGGAACCGTCTGCCTGAGAAGAAAATTATGGAAGTAGAATTTCTACTATATCCTCGGCTACTAAAATAGAGAAATAACTTTAGCAGATTACTTGCAGCACCACTCAAAAGGAGCCACGCCTGGGCCTGTCTTCAGCAACACTCACTTTTATTGTCCTCCCCTCCAAACTCTGCAAAAAAGAATAACCGCATATAAAAAAATCATACCCTGCACATAGTCCTTAATTCAGTTTTAGTTAATTGTTTCACCAGTTTAACATGAGCCCGTAATAATCATCATATTCCCTTCAATTTGCATCTAACTATTGATCATTTAACAAAGTACTTAAAGCAATACCTGGCCATCAAGGGCGGCAATAGCATCATTCATTTCTTTCTCATCAGACATTGTGACAAAGCCAAAGCCACGTGATCGACCAGTCTCTCTATCATTGACTATTCGAACACTCACAACCTTACCATGTTCACTGAAAACTTGCTCAAGTCTACTTTCATCAATTTGCCATGGTAAGTTACCAACATAAACTCTTGAGACAGGTTCATAGGTTCGAGGTGGGCGGTCTTCCCGCACTGGCCTAGATCCTCTTGGAGCAGCCTTATTCACAGTCAAGGATCTTCCATTATAATCCTGTCACGGAAAAATGGATAAGAACCAAAAGAACTAAAAAATACAATAACATCAATTAGAAATAAAACGCCAATAGTAATAATGATAAATTACTATGCGCGTAATAAACATTAAAGCACATTTGAATAGTATAAAAGAAAGAGCATGAAACTTAAACTCCTCTACACATGCAGATTTGTTTTCATATAAATACAAAATCGAACAAGAAAAAAAGGTTATGTTGTAAGTCCTTGATTAAAGAAATAACTATTACAATTTAGTTGTTTGGGTTGGAGTCATAATTGTATGATACAATGTAATTGCATATTTCCCACTATCCATCACAAACCACTCACACAATTTCCAACTAAGAGATTGCAACTTTATAGGATGAATTCTATTCTACAATCTGCCAAGCTTCCATAGTAAAAGAAAAAAAACTTGTTAATAAGTTCGACTTTCTCTTTTGTTTAGCATTGCAATTTCCATATTTCATTACAAGAGTAAATAACTCAAGATAAGATTGTGAGAAACACCAAAATTATTTTTTACTCATTCATTGAATAACCAACGTATCAGGTTCAACTATATTACATTACATCTTGTATATTCAATTTTATATTTTGAAGCTTTATAATTTACATGTAACAATAATATAATTGACATCTCAAATTTAATTTAAACTTTGTTACGATGTTAAAACATTTATGAACTGGATCGTTAACTTACATAGCGATTGAATTTCTCAACAGCAGCTTCAGCTTCTTCAACCGTACTCATGGTTACAAATCCAAATCCGCGACTCTGGTCAGTTTCCCTGTTATAAACAACCTAAAACAACAACAACCATAACTCAATTTCATTTCACCACAAACAGAAAGCAATACAACTAACACACAATCAATTGAAATTGAAAAGACTAACCTCAGAAATCTCTACAGTTCCAGCTGACTCAAAAAGCATGGCGAGTTTCTCACTATCAACATCATAAGGCAAATTACCAACAAACACCTTCGCATCTTCGGATGGTTCCAAGAAATCTCCTTGCTCAGAATCTTCACCAGTTTCGTTTTCAGCAGTGTTGGGTTCCCAATCGAGAAGTCCTCCGGTTTCAACGACACCTTCTTCGTATGTGGTTAGGGTTTCATCATCTTGCACGGCGAAGAAAGGTGTAGCACGGTTGGTTTTGCGGGAGAGAGTGAGAGAGGGTGAAGAGTTAAGGGAGAGATGGAGTTTGAAGGGTTTGGAGGGAAGAGAGAAGAAGGTGGGTTTGGTTTTGGAGTGGAAGAGTGCGGCTGTGGTTAGGGATTTGAAGAGGGGAGTGGTGGAAGTTACAGACATGGTGATAGAATGGAGAAGGTAATGAAGTGAAGGAATGAGGGAGTTAGAGAAAATATGAGGATAAGGGGTCAAATAAATACTCGAACTTGCAATCAAGGGTTTTGTGCCTAAATATTGTAAAGAAAAAAAAAATTTGAATTTTTTACCCAAATAATTTATTTTTTCAAAAAAATAATTGCAAAATACCCTATTTTTTTAAAAACAAATCTCAAAGTACTCTAGTTAGAGTTTTTGATTATCTAAGGGCGTCATTTTAATTGACGATCCTTTGTTAAAGTCATAAGGGTGTCGCAAATTGGATTGGAGACACTTTATGCAGTCTCCAATCCAATTGGCGCCTTAGTTATATACTTAATATCTTGTCGTCAATTCATCTGGAAACATGGTGTATTTTGTAATTTTTTTATGAAAAATAAACAATACTACCATTAATTAAAAAAACTATTACATAAACTAATGTTGGCAACCGTGTGGATCATACCGGCCACCGGTTCCACATCCCCTAGGCACCCTAACTCGTTGCACTCGTTTTCCTCGTTGTTGACTCATGCCAGGTGTTTGAGGAGTTGAAGTCTCAGGAACATTTCCAGATGGTTCCCTAAGAATTTCTTGCATTTCCACGAGGTATTGTGTGTTGAAATTGAGCATGTGACCCATGCCAGAGTAGTTCGGATGTGATGAAGGGGTCATTGGTGTACGGCCTAGACGGTTGAAGGGGGACATTGATGTGAAGCATTTGTTGGTGAAAGGTTGAAATGGTAGTGGTGTTTGAAAGCCATAAGGTTGTTGAGAAGTTTGAGTGTGTAGGCTAGGGTATGATGTCGGAGCATTTTGGCTATGGAAAGATGTTTGGGCATTATGGCTATGGTATGATGTACCCTCGTTGTGGCTATATCTTGATGTTGTGTTGGGGCCATAGCCATTTTGGGTTTCTGGATAGTAGTCAGTGTGTTGGAGATGGTATATGGGACACTCTTGGTTTGTGGTTGGGTGTTTGGCATGTTTGGATGGTTAATGGGTTGGTAATTTTGTCGGGTAGGGGGTTGTGAGTAACATGGCCTTCCTGGTGGGTTAGATGTTGGAGCTTATTGTGTGTAGGTGGTTTAGCGTGGGTCGTATAAATATCTGTCTTCGGAGACAAACCCAGTTGCAATCGATCTGTATCAAGTCATATAATTAATAGTTGGTATAGACGGGGTTGCCATCACCGGATCACGTAAGACATGAGCGTTATGGTTCATCCATATACGACGCTCAGATTTTGCAAAATCCTTCCAGTCGGGAAAGTCCCATTTATCATTAACTCTTTTTAGATGCCATTTACTGATGTCAATAGGAGGATCTGGGATGTTTTGATGCATTCCTAATTGTAGTTTGACACGATAACTGTTGCGCATCTCCACAGTTGTGAATCTGATGATCGGGACGCATGCAGTCCAAACGGCATCATCTTCCTCTCTGACTTCATGTAGGTGTTCCATGTTTAGGTATGGACGCCATATGAACTGAAGAAGAGAAAAATATTAGATCATAAAATAGTTGATATAAAATATAAATTAATTTGTTTAGAGGCCTTACATCTGCAGGTGTTAAGTGATCCAACAAATTGCGGTATTGAACGATACAATGTTTAGGGCATCTATTGTAATCATACCCTTAGTCGACCATCTAAACCATAAAAAGTTCAAATTCATTTAGTTAGACACAATAATTAGTAAGGTGAAAGAAACTAAGATTAAGTTAGTAACTTACTTTTGTGCATACGAGAAGAAAAAGTTGTTGTGGTTGACGGGCGCTAGGGATGGCAATCTTGACCAACCCCATGCTTGGAGCAAAACAGCGCATCTAGAAAAAGTAGATGTATTTTTTTTTGCGCACTTACACAAAGAGTTATACAAATAAGACAGACAAATAAAACCTCAATTATACTGTCTTGTTTTAGTTAGGTCTCTCAATAAAGGTAATTACATAATGTGCATAGAAGAACCAGTGCCTTTGGGAAATAAAAATAAACCAATTAAAAGCATAAGATAACACCTAGTTTTTATTATTTTCATTTCTTCTGTAGAATTTCCATCTAATATAAAATCGGCGTACCATGATTTTAGGCGCGAAAGTAAGATACCTTGGCCCTCTTTAGTTCTCGTCTAGCAAGTCGGCACCCAAAAGTTCCTCACAAATTGAACCATGAAGGTTTGTTGTTCCATTGACTGCCTTACCATCAATACGTAAACCGAGTAACATGTACATATCCTCTAAGGCCACAGTACATTAATCGATTGGAAAAAAGAAGGTGTGTGTCTCTGGGTGCCATCTCTCTTGCAAAGCTAGTATAAACTTTGCATCAATCGAGTAAGACATAATTTTGCTTACATGTCCGAAACTAGCAAGCTCAATATATGGTTGAATTAATTCGGCGGGTGCAACATTTTCATGGGCATGACACCGAAACTTAGAGACTTCCTACATAATTGTCAAATAAAAAAAATTAACAGAGACATTAAAAATTATAAGAGATATTAAAAATTAACATATACAATAAAAATTAACACAGGCAATAAAAACTAATAGAGACATTAAAAATGAACACTTACATGATTCGCAATATTTGCGACAATGCCTCTATGTGTTTCACCCGTTGTTAACAACGCTATTATAACTGATGAAATGTGAATCAGATAACTGGTATACTGACACTTTAGACTTGATATTACCTCTCTACAACAAGTATGAATCAGATGATGCATTTACCCATACCTCTAGCTTTCTTATATAGGGAATTAAGAGTCACATGTGAGAATAATCAGTTGTACCATGTCGCCAGACCAATTGGCGATTGCATTCACTCTTTACAAAGGGGTGTCAGTCCAATTGGCGACGCCTGGTAGACTGAAACATAGTTGTGCATGTAGCTGAGGTTGCTTCATGCATGCATAACATGCTGACACCCACATGGTGACATAGTGTCTAAAAGACTGTACCTTGTCACCAGACCATGTGGTGACTCCCTTTAATGCTTTTGACCATGCCGCCAATTCATGTGGTGAATCTGGTACGTGTCCCATGCATATTAATATGTTCCCATACATGTAGACATAGATAGAAACCAAAACAAGCAAATTTATTAAGTCTCTAACAAGTTCTTTTAACATGTCATATGCACCAAGATATATTGTTAACGCCCACTACAATGGAGAGACGTATATCTCCGATGTATCTAGGTTTGGTTTTTAAAACACCAATACTATCTGATTCACAATCAATACAAACACAAGTTTATTGCATTTCAAAGAAAGATTGGAACGAAATTAGGGCTTGGTCCTATAGCACAAATAATATTTCAAAACCCAGTTTTTTTAAAAACTAATCACGTTAAATTTTATCCACTTAAAGTGCGAGATGACGAAGATATTGAAAATATGTCTGTTAGTCACAAACATTCTAGTTTCAACTATATTGAGTTGTATACGTTCCTCTAACAAAATATTTCATCTCAACAGTTTCAGATTATCGATCAATCAACAAGTGTAGACTCTGATGAAATTGAATCAGAATACTCAGATGAAATCGAACCGGAGGTTAACTTTGTTGATAAAGAAGAAGGAAGCGAGACGCTGGTCAATCAACTGTTGAACGAAAACGTTGAAGATGACGAACAAGTGATAATACCTTCAGGTCATGTATATTGTCCACCTCAACATATGACAAACTTGGACTTGCAAGACAATGAGAGATCCACATATATGTTTCACAACCCGTATATACGGTCAGAGAATGAATTGAAAGCGGGAGACCAGTTTTGTACCAAGGAGGATTGTGTACGAGCCATTAAAAAATACCACATGGATAACTCTGTTGATTTCAATGTACACCAAACTGATTCGAGAAGGTATGTCATTATTTGTCGTAATCCACTTTGCAAGTTTTGGCTTGTTGCGTCTTATAGAAAGAGAAGAGATTCTTGGAAGATAGCTTCCATAGAGCCACCTCACAGTTGCACTGCCATAAATATTATTCAGGATCACCGAAAGTTAAGCGCAAAATTGATGTCAAGACATTTTGTCGCTTGTTAACAAGGATCTTTCAATCAACGTGAGTATAATAATCTCTCATATCGTGACGTGGTATAATTATACTCCCTCGTACAAGAAGGCGTGGGTTGCAAGGACAAAGGCTATTAAACAGGTATTTGGCAACTGGGAGGATTCGTACAAGGAATTACCATAATTTTTGGTAGCGCTAAAGACATGCACACCAGGAACTGTTGCAATCATGCAGACAGTGCTGACATGTAGGCCAGATGGAACTATTGTTGATGGAAATGTCATCTTTCACCGTCTCTTTTAGTCATTTCAACCATGCATAAGAGGTTTTGCATTCTGCAAACCTGTTATTCAAATTAATGGAACATGGCTCTACGGAAAATACAAGGGCACCTTGCTTATGGTTTTTGCACAAGACGATAACAATAATGTCTTTACCATAGCCTTTGCTCTGGTTGAGGGTGAGACCGCTTCTGCTTGGAGTTTCTTCCTTAAGAATCTCAGAACACATGTTGCTCCATAAGCCAGTCTCTGTTTGATTTCAAACAGATATGCTGCTATAGAAAGTGCATATAATAACCATGATAACGAGTGGCATAATCCTCCTTTCACCCATGTATATTGCATTAGACATATTGCACAAAACTTCATGTGTGCAATCAAAGACAAGAACCTTCGCAAAAAAAATTGTGAATGTCGGGTATGCTTTAACTCAACCAACATTTCAATACTGCCTTAACGAAATTAGGATGTCAAATGCAAATGCAGAAAGTTGGTTGGATAACATTCCACTCCAAAAGTGGACAAAGGCTTTTAATGGTGGATGTCGTTGGAGCCACATGACGACAAACCTTGTTGAGTCCATGAACAGGGTATTCAAAGGAATTAGAAACCTTTCAATCACCGTTTTGGTGAGATCAACCTATTATAGATTGGCATCACTTTTTGCAACAAGAG